TTTTTTTTTTTTTTTTTTTTTTTTTTTTTTTATAAATTTTTTTGAAATGTTTTGTTAGCAAAATTAAGAATAACAAACTTCTTCAATGGGATGTTTGGAGTTTTAAGTAAAAATGTATATTCTTTTTCTCAAATTAATAAATTTGAGTTGGCCCGCTTCCCCAAAGAGCTTACGAATCCTTAATTTATTTGAACACAACCCAACCCAATCCAACCCAACGTGTACGAGTTACTTAGACATGAAATTTCTCGAGTGAGAGGAGAACGAGTGGTGCAAGCAGTGTGGCAATGAAGCCAACAAATAGAGCTGAGCAACCATTTGATTCAGCAGAGCTGCTTGGCGTCTCTGCTGCTAAGGATGAGGATGCTTCTGCATCGATTGCCTTGGGTAACTCGCAGCCTCCAAACCTCATATTCTCCTGTATGATATCAGTTCATCAAAACCAACAAGTTTTCTTAATCTTCTTCCACGTTCAGTCGCCTTTCGTTTCTATACAGTTTACGAAAACTGTAACAGTCCAAGCCCAACTATATTGTCGTTACGTTAAGGAGAGGTTTCCACATCCTTATAAAGGACGTTTCGTCCTCCTCCCCAATCGACGTGGGATCTCACAATCCACCCCCTTTTGAGATTGTGTCATCAAAGAATAGTGGTAATCGCTAACCTTGCAACTTGAAATGTTTGGACATCCACAAACAGAGTGACCGTTCGTAACGTCGACGGCTTTGGCAGCTCCTCCCCCGTCGCTCCTCTGAAACATGTTCATACCATACATCAATTATCAGTTTCAAGAAGCAGCTGTTCTAATGATTTAGTTTTGTACTTACTAACCTTGTAGAAGTCAACAGCAATGAAGTTAGGCCATCTATTTCCTGCTGCATTATAGCAGGTGTTCACCATGTTGAGTAATGGAGCCGAGTTGTCCTTGCAAGCTTCAGGGAAATTCGAAGCACTTCTGAAGAAATTTACGATTATAAGCGACCTTGAAGTCGTGTTCATCGGTAGCGATTCACCTCGGTTCGGGCACGAACCTGCCATCATTCCTCCATCCCCATCTGCAGAATGGTTGAATCAATAAGAAAACCTATTGGATTCTCTACGTTTTATTCATTCTACTGAAAAAACGAAACGAACTCACATTGGTTTTCAACCATGTATCTCCATACATATGCAATTCCTTCAGAGGCTTCTTTCGAAGCTTTCGAAGTAAAAACGAGCAAACGTTGGTTTTTCCGAACCATGTCGCTAACCATGGGCCAATCTCCACCATTCTTGGGCATTCTCCATACTGGGAACCAGAATTTTCTCAGACCAGCAGCACCAAACACATTGGTTAAGCCCTTTGGCGACGTGACATAGTCTTCAATGATGACGGTGACGATCTCGGAAGGGTTTGCTTCAAGAAATGCTTGGAACTCTTTGAGAACATTAATGGCAGGTTGCTGGTGATTTAAAGTTTTGTATGAACTTGTTCAAAATAACATAAACAAGGAAAGGAACGGTATATTGAGCCAATTTTCAAGCATACTTACGAAAGCTGTATAATTGAAGCATTGGCCTCCGTAAGAGTGACATAACCATATACCATTTTCAAAGTCGTACATATCAAGCATAAATCCTCTAACACCATTCTGCAATATGAAAATTGAACATTACGAAGTATCAATATTCAGTGAACCGAACGTGTTTGTTTATGTAGATATCATTCAAGGGTTAGAACCATTTCCATTTTATAGAGACCTCATCGTTACTTTTATCAATATCAAGCTGTTAAACTGTATAAACCAAAGCCCGCCGTTAGCAAATATTGTCCTCTTTGGGCTTTCTTTTCTGGGCTTCCATTCAAGGTTTTAAAACGTGTCCGTTAGGAAGAGGTTTCCACACCCTTAATGTTTTGTTCTCCTCCCCAACCGACGTGGGATCTCACCGTTAATCGATTATGAAATGCTCTACAATAACAATCACATAAAAATATGGTATATAGATCACGTGCATTTCTTCTTGTTAAAAGGGTCATCAAGATATTCCACAAGTAAGGCCCTGCCTGAGAGTAATCCTAAGAAGCATGAAAGTTTTTTAAGGTAGCTTTTCCTTAAAGATTTATCATTCTTTCGGGTCCCTTAGTCTCGACTGCCTTTTGCAAGAGTCAAGAGAGCATCATTATTTGGACAATGTAGTTTTAAGTAGTTCTCAAGCGACCTTATCTTTCCTCCCAATTAAAATAGAGAACTAGACTAAAAATTTACCCACACATGAAAGAGATAATGTGAGATCCCACATCGGTTGGAGAGGAGAACGAAACACTTTTTAAAAGGGTGTGAAACCTTTTCCCTAATAGACGCGTTTTAAAAAGCTTGAGGGAAAACCCAAATAGGACAATATCTGCTAGCGGTGGGCCTGGGCCGTTACAAGTGGTATCAGAGCTAGACACTGGGCAATGTGCCAACGAAGAGGCTGTTCCCCCGAAGGGGGTGGATTTGGTGGGGGTCACATATCGATTGGAGAAAGGAACGAGTGCCAGCGAGGACACTGGGTCCCCTGGGGGTGGATTGTGACATCCCACGTCGGGGGGTGGATTGTGACATCCCACATCAGGGGATGGATTTGGTGGGGGTCCCATATCGATTGGAGAAAGGAACGAGTGCCAGCAAGGACACTGGGTTCCCTGGGGGTGGATTGTGACATCCCACGTTAGGGGGTGGATATGGTGGGGGTCCCATATTGATTGGAGAAAGAAACGAGTGCTAGCGAGGACGCTGGGCCCTAGAGGGGGGAGGGGGGTGGATTGTGACATCCCACGTCAGGGGGTGGATTGTGACATCCCACGTCAGGGGGTGGATTGTGACATCCCACATCAGGGGGTGGATGTGACATCCCACATCGGTTGGGGAGGAGAACGAAATACCCTTTACAAGGGTATGAAAACTTTTCCCTACCAGACACGTTTTAAAAACCTTGCAGGAAAGTTGAAAGAAAAAGCCCAAAAAAGACAAGTTTAAAAACCTTGCGGGAAAGCCGAAAGGAAAAGCCCAAAGAAGACAATATCTGCTAGCAGTGGGTCTAGGCCGTTATAAATAATCTCTTCCATACTAGCACCAAAAGATTCATAAGCACATGGGAGAGACAGAGAGAGGCCATAAGCATATTTGAAAATGGATAAGACAAGGAAGAGTGGAGTAATCAAGTGACTGAGTCACGCTTGCACCAAAAATGATAAAAAAACAATAGAGGAATAAACCAGAAACCACAGGCCTAAGCATTATATTTATAATATATGAGTAGTGGAAACAAAACTTATTGTACTTTAGGTCAAGATATCGGCTGATTTGGGCTGCCAAGCAAAGATTTTCATGTTTCTTCCATTTTAAACAAAGCAACCCCTAAAAGAGGGCTACCACTCCCAATAGAAGTGCACATAGGCGGGGCAGGATCATAAACTTTCTTATGCTTTATGCATACAACTTTTAAATGATTCCGTTCAACCTTATGAGCTAGGGCATTTACGCAAGATTGTGTTGGTTTGATATTGTCCACTTTTAGCATAAGCTCTCATGGCACGACTATCCACAATGGTATGGTATTGTCCACTTTGAGCATAAGCTCTCATGGCTTTGCTTTGGGTTTCCCCAAAAGACCTCACACCAATGGAGAGAGTATTCGTTGTTTATAAACCCATGATCATTCCTTAAATTAGCCGATGTGAGACTTTCATCATCCAACACCTCCCCTCGAACAAAGTGCGCCTCCCCTTAATCGAGGCTCGACTCCTTTGGAGTCTTAGTCATTTTTTACTACCTTCGAGGAGGCTTTACTCCTTTTTTTTTGGAGTCCTTTGTTCGATATTTGAGGATTTACCAATCTATTGGCACGACTAAGTTTTAGGGCATGGCTCTGATACCATGTTAGATGAACACGACTCTCCACAATGGTATGATATTGTCCACTTTGAGCATAAGCTCTCATGGCTTTGCTTTGGGTTTCCCCAAAAGGCCTCACACCAATGGAGAGAGTATTCGTTGTTTATAAACCCATGATCATTCCTTAAATTAGCCGATGTGAGACTTTCATCATCCAACACCTCCCCTCGAACAAAGTGCGCCTCCCCTTAATCGAGGCTCGACTCCTTTGGAGTCTTAGTCATTTTTTACTACCTTCGAGGAGGCTTTACTCCTTTTTTTTTGGAGTCCTTTGTTCGATATTTGAGGATTTACCAATCTATTGGCACGACTAAGTTTTAGGGCATGGCTCTGATACCATGTTAGATGAACACGACTCTCCACAATGGTATGATATTGTCCACTTTGAGCATAAGCTCTCATGGCTTTGCTTTGGGTTTCCCCAAAAGGCCTCACACCAATGGAGAGAGTATTCGTTGTTTATAAACCCATGATCATTCCTTAAATTAGCCGATGTGAGACTTTCATCATCCAACACCTCCCCTCGAACAAAGTGCGCCTCCCCTTAATCGAGGCTCGACTCCTTTGGAGTCTTAGTCATTTTTTACTACCTTCGAGGAGGCTTTACTCCTTTTTTTTTGGAGTCCTTTGTTCGATATTTGAGGATTTACCAATCTATTGGCACGACTAAGTTTTAGGGCATGGCTCTGATACCATGTTAGATGAACACGACTCTCCACAATGGTATGATATTGTCCACTTTGAGCATAAGCTCTCATGGCTTTGCTTTGGGTTTCCCCAAAAGGCCTCACACCAATGGAGAGAGTATTCGTTGTTTATAAACCCATGATCATTCCTTAAATTAGCCGATGTGAGACTTTCATCATCCAACACCTCCCCTCGAACAAAGTGCGCCTCCCCTTAATCGAGGCTCGACTCCTTTGGAGTCTTAGTCATTTTTTACTACCTTCGAGGAGGCTTTACTCCTTTTTTTTTGGAGTCCTTTGTTCGATATTTGAGGATTTACCAATCTATTGGCACGACTAAGTTTTAGGGCATGGCTCTGATACCATGTTAGATGAACACGACTCTCCACAATGGTATGATATTGTCCACTTTGAACATAAGCTCACATGGCTTTGCTTTGGGTTTCCGCTCACACCAATGGAGAGAGTATTCTTTGTTTATAAACTCATGATCATTCCCTAAACTAGTTGATGTGGGATTTTCATCCTCCAACACATTCAAATAGCAAGAATTGAGGTCAAGAACCCATCAAATTTCAAGTCTCTTCACCCCAATCACGTATATATTAGCCTTTTCTTTTACTATTTCAACATGTTTACCATTTTTAGCACACATTTCTCCGTAATACCTCAAGATTTCAGTTCTATCTACATCAAAACATTCTCAACAAGCTCACTCTAAGTAATTCTAGCTGAAAAAGGTGTGCAAATGGGAGCAAATTAGGGTTGAAAGAGGGAAGAACAAAATGAGTTTTGACCTTTCCAGTTACATAAGAGCTTCGCTTTCAGGGCAGGTGAACCAAACAGCCCAATAAACGTTCAGAATTGTTAAGTTTCCTTTACTCTTCTCTTGAATATTCCACAAACCAAACAGGATGAACAGAAAAAACAATAACGAAGCAGGAAAAGGAAAGGCAGTAACGTACATTGAGCTGACTAGTAATGGAGTCCTGTTGATTCGTCGGAGCAAGAATCAGAGACCCAGTAGCCGATTTCGCCCCTAATTTCGCGAACGAGTTGTGGGTCGTCAACCATGCGTAATGATTAAACGGAAGATCATTCACCTGCTCCAAAAATTCCGCTACTAAAATCAAAAGAACCCACAATTCCAAGAACAGAAATAAAAAGAGCGCCACTACAGACCTTCGAAATCGGACTTATCGGCTGGATTCTAGTGCAGCGCGGCCGGACATTGCCGTCGGCGAAGCAGGTCTCGCAATGCAATCCGGCGTCACAGTTTCTGTTCAAAATACACGTACGCCCCTCCTGATGAAGAAACAGAGAAACCCAAACAATCGCAGATGAAAATCTCATAATCTGGAAAAGGAAAAACAACGAAATGGGTATCGGAACAAACCCGAAGAGCTGAAGAAGAATCAAAGAGGAAGAGAATGTGAAACAGAGCCAGTGCCAGAGGTAATCTCCCCAAGAAATAACGACAACCCATTTGGCCCTGAGCGGATTATTTAGGAAGGGAGACTCAGTGCGGGAATTTTCCGGGTTGAGAGTTCAAATTTTCCGGGAAAATAGGTGGGAAAATGGGTGGGAATCGGGGAAGAACATTGAAAGAGAAAAGGGGAGTGAGGGAAAGTCTTTGAAGTAACGAAAAGGAGAGTTCATACGGTGGACGCTGTGGACTCAACTGTAATGCGCGCAGAGTCGTACGGACATTTACTTCTTTCACTCTCACATCTGACTCAATTGTATTATTTTTAATAATAATACAGAACTTTATTTATTGTATTTTTGTAATTTTGTAATTATTTTTAAAATTTTGTAATTTTGTAATTATTTATTGTATTGTTAGATCGTTATATGTTTATAATCCAATCTTCATTAGCATGAGACATTTTGGGAAGCCCCAGAGCAAAACCACGAGAGTCTATGTTCAAAGCAGACAATATCATACCATTGTGGAGAGTTGTGTTCATCTAAAATAGTATCAGAGTCATGCCTTAAACTTAGTCATGTTAAATGTCGAATAAAGAACTCCAGCATAGCCAAAGACAAGATAGTCATAAATTAAAAAAAAAATGAAATCGATATTAAATGATACCTAATATATGATAATTATCTAAGTTATCTATTTAATCATAAAATATTATTATTAAATAGGCGTGTAATTGTGAAAGATTAACGAAACGTAAAGAGTTCCTTCTAAGAAATGCTAATCTTTTATCCTTTTAAAGATATGAATTTATGGGCTCATAACATTCCTTTTTTAATAATCAAACACACATTAGTTTAACCAGTTATCGAAACATTCATAGTGGTATGATATTGTCCACTTTGATCTTTTATCCTTTTAAAGATATGAATTTATGGGCTCATAACATTCCTTTTTTAATAATCAAACACACATTAGTTTAACCAGTTATCGAAACATTCATAGTGGTATGATATTGTCCACTTTGAGTATAAATTCTTATGACTTTGCTTTGGGCTTCCCCAAAAGGCCTCATACTAATGGAGTTAGTATTCCTTAATTATAAACCCATGATCAATCCCTAAATTATCCGATGTGGGACTTCCATTGTGGTTAACCAATAAATAAATCTAGAAATATCCCACGTGGTATTTTAACCTTAAATTTAATAATTATTAGTGATATTAGTTGATGGGCCGAAGAAATTCTGGATATAAAGTGCAAATTTTGTTAAGTGGGCTTTATAAGTTCGGCCCATTCTCGTTTAGTGGGCCTTAAAAATAGTTTGAAATAACTTAGGTCTAGAAGCTCGATAATCGTAAATAATTAGAATTAGTTAAAACTAATCTCGACCAAGAATCGAAGTTCGAATTTCGATACTTAAATTTAATTAATTTGTTTGTAATCCAAAAAATTTCGATACTGGAGATTTCTCTTCATTGACTAAATGGGGTCGGAAACGAAGATTATAATTTTCATCTCCATCCTCGACTCTAACCACGTTCCAATCCTGGCCACACCCTACTAACCAAAAAATTATCTAAACCCAACTTGTAGGGACCCGCGACCTAGGCCTACCACTTCTTTGGGGGAAAGCCCGACCTAGCAGATATTGTTCTATTTGAGCTTTCCTTTTTGGGCTTCCTCTCAAGGCTTTAAAACGCCCACACCCTTATGAAGGGTGGTTTGTTCTCATCCCCAACCAACGTGGGACATCACAATCCACCCCCTTTGGGCCCAGCATCCTTGGTGGCACTCTTTCCTCCCTCCAATCGATGTGGGACCGCCCCCAATTCCACCTCTCCTTTGGGGCCACCATCCTTATTAGCACACAGCCTCGTGTCTACCCCCTTAGGGGAACAGCGTGAAGGCTAACACATCGTCCCGTGTCTGGCTCTAATACCATTTGTAACGACCCAGACCCACTACTAGCAGATATTATCCTCTTTTGGCTTTTCTTCCTACGGGAAGGTTTCCACACCCTTCTAAATGGTAGTTTGTTCTCTTCCCCAACCAATGTGGGACATCACACAACTCAATCTGACTCATATACACCTTTATCTATAGACACTTCTAAGTTTGACCCGAGGCTTGTTGAACAAGACCCATTTTAGAATCACGAGAAAGGGGTATATAATTACGAACATAAACAATGGAAAAAACAATTTGAAGCAAAGTATTTGCATATTAAACAAAGTGATTAAGCTTTGTCGTTGACAGAGCATAACAACAAAGAGAAAGAAGACATGAAACATAGTATTAAGAAAAACATACATTAATTTATGTTGTTAATACTAAAAGACAGTCTGTGAACACACAAAATCGAAGAGAGAGTGTTTTGGAGGTAGCGAAAGGAAAAAAACAGAGCACAAAAGCAGAAACAGTGGGCGCTACAGAATACTCTGTCGCTTCCACCCACTTCCATTATAGTTTCACATGCTCACTCTGTCTCTTCCAACAACATGGTTTGCTTACACTTGTTTTTTTTTTTTTTTTTTTTTTT